GTGCAACCTTATTGACAATAAAGTGAGATTATTGTGCCTTTTAACCACAAAGTAATTTTAAAGGGACTTATTGCGTCAATAAAAAGTGGGAATGTTCTGTTGATGTTCTGTCTTCCAATTTGTTTGTGTGTATTTTATTGCAGTATTGTGTTTATACAATAAACAATATACAATAAGCGCCTGTAACCCTCATCAGAGTACAAAATAAAGGCTTTAAAGACTTGCTTCTCACAGTAAAAGTGTGCACATCCAGTACACATTCATTTAAACTAACTTATGAGAGTTTCCTTTACCTGCTTCATTTTTCATTTAGGAAGGTAAACTTAATTGAAGTCGTGGTGAGTTCTCTATAGGATTTGCTCTGCTGGTCTGCTTTACATGAGGGGGGATGAAATGTAAATCCTACGAGCTCTCTTTTTCTGTGTTTTGTAGAGCGGACCCAAAAGCGAGATGCAGACATGAGGAAAAAGTAAAACAATGCATATCCGACCCCTCTTCAAGAAGTGGTCACTATTTGCCTAAAAAAATGGATTAAAAACTGTAGTTCAAACATAAAATGGTCATATTACAAAAGGCTAGATCCATTATTTTATGCAGTTTATGATCTGAAATAGTTCTGTCAGAACTGAAATATGATTATTTTGTAAGGGGTGGCAGTAGCTCAGTCTGTAGGGACTTGGGTTGGGAATCGGAGGGTAGCCGGTTCATGTCCCGGCACGGACCAAGTCCAGAAATTGGTCTGGTAGCTGGAGAGGTGCCCTTGAGCAAGGCACTGAACTCCCCACCAGCTCAGGAGCACCCACTGTGGGCAGCTCCGTCACTCTGAGACCTCTCCATTAATGCATGTCCATAGGATCCTGTTTGTGCATGTGTGTGTATTTCAGCCTGTGTTTGTGTAGCATGTTCATTAGACAGAGTGTAAAACTGAATTTCCCCTCGTGGGATTAATAAAGGATAAATTATTATTATTATTATTATTAAGTGATAAATGTAGTTTTTGAAACTTGTTTCAGGAACATAAACCATGCCTTACCCCAACCCATTTCTGTTTCAGAAGTATTTAAGCACGCCTTAATCACTCCTATTCCTTTGATGCTGATTTCACATCCCTCCTCCCCAAACTCCTTTGTGTATCTTAACTTCTCTCACCATGGGGGTCTATACAAACAGCAACAAAGAGATGGCTCCCCCATCAAGAGTCTCAACCCCTCTGGTTTCCTTACATCGTACCTACATTGGCTGATACAAGTCCATCGTCCTTCCCTCCTGACCCTTACCTTCATCCCTTCATCTCTTGACCCTTACCTTCATCTTTTTGTCCCTCAACTCTTACCTCCTTTCATCCCCTAACCTTTACCTTTATCCCTTCATCCATACCTCTCGACCCTTACCTCCATCTCTTTACCCCTCAATTGTTACGCCCCCTACCTCCACCCCTTGACCCTTACCTTCATCCCTTCATCCCCCATCCCTCGACCCTTACCTTCATCCCCCCTTCCCTCCATTCTAACCTTCACCCCTTCATCCCCTTTATCTATCCACCCCCAGTCTTCCAATCATCCAACCTTGCTCATCATTTCGATCTCCGCCATGCATATTACATAAACTATTCTTAATCAATATCTGTCTTGGTGTGGTCTTTGTTAGTGAAACACGATAAGTTGTAGATCAAAAAGATTTGACTGCTTGACTGACATCTGCTCTTATATTGACATTATCCTGACTGTTTTACTTGAACACACTGCTCATAAGGATCCTTATTGACTAAACTAAATCCTTGTTAGTTCAATAGTAAGAATGAAGCATGCCTAAAGGGACACAAATGTTCAGTAATCAGATAAATTCCTTGATTGTTTCCTGTCGTTTTAACAAACGTATGTATACAGGGGTTCAATAGCTCCTCCTAATGTAAGTGTAAGTGTGCTGGTGCGAGACTTGGTGAAGTCAAGCGTTCATTCTTTTTCCTAACAAGATATTCTTATTAAAGTGTTTCTTGCAGTCTGCCGGTCTCAGTAACTGCATTCAAACAGCAATTTCCAGCCAACATTTCCACCTGAATTGGCTCGGGTTATGCTGATGAATTGCACTTGGGGCTGCAGAATAATGAATACTGACAAAGTTTGAGGGAAATGTCAGACATGAGGATTCTCACCTCACACCTCTCCTCTTACTGTATGTATGCACATCAAGACCCAGCCTACCTGACATTGGTAGGATATGTCACATTTACTTCACATTTTAAGGATAGTAGCCCAATAGCTGAATTAATTGTCAAGCATGCAGATTAACTGTAGCAAAGAAATAAATGCCAACTGTTGAGGCAAAACTATGCTAGTGGAAAATCTTCTTCGCTGTAGTGCTTATGCAAATTAGGTGGCATTCTGCTGATGGCAGTAGCATCATTTACTCTCTTATTCCTCTTTGTTGAGATCTGCACTCTAAACGTCATAGAGCTGGAAGGCAGAGGCAGGAAAATAAATAAGTATCATTGAGCCTGGGCCATTTCATTGGTGCAGCTGCCCACTGCTGAGGCTTTTATTCTGGCATCACCACTTATCGGCTTCTTCAGACCTGCTCAGCATCTCATTTCAACACTTGGGAGCCCTGACTATTTGCTAAGTCAGGGATCCAAATAATATGGCTCTCTGGCTTGTAAATTTGTTTTCCACTGTTTCCCATGAGATAGGCTTTGTCCACATCGAGAAAGGGACAAAGATTATTTATTAATTCAATAACTCTGTGAAATTGGTGCCTTAATACAGTTTAATCAAATGCATATATTATTTTTATCTAGTTGGCCCTTTACATATTTATACCCACAGGAAAGTCTTACTCAGCTGTTCCTCCAATGGATCAATCATGTGTGAGTGTGTGAGTGTGTGAGTGCAATACAAACCCAAGTGGATGTATTGGATCGTTGACTAAAAGGTCAGGCAAGAGGTTGAGGGTAAATCTGGTTCTTGAGGACAAATATTTTCTCATTGAATGGAAGCATCATTTCCAGAGAACTTAACATTCAATCATCATATAGCTCAACAGCTTAGAGGAGATTTTAATCACTTTTTACCCCTACAGACACGGACACAGAACATAAAGAGAGAATGATTGTAGTGTAAGTCAATATAGTCACAAATCATTAATGAAACTACAAAGTGACCTTCATCAGTCAAGGGGATGATGTCTGTGTGTGTCATGCACTCCTCTAGTATTGTTCCCTTCACCATTGCTTCACCGACTGGGGTGGTTATTTTTTATAGGAATTCAATTATTACCATAACACCATAAATCCATTATCATTACCTTTAAAACACTTTAAATTCAGAATTCAGCAGTCGTTCTGCAAAAACTGGCAATACGTATTATTAATAAGACGGAATATTATGCCCACACAAATGATTTGTTTGACTACAAAATAATGCAAATAATGTTTAGAGCAAAGTCAAAGTAACACCCAGACTCTAGGTATTTGTTAGTTTGTTGTACAAAGTGCAAAAAAAAGGATATTATTTATATATTAAAAGGAGATGTGTTTCAGTTGTCGGGGTTAAATTATGGAATGATGCCTATATCAATTTAAAAACCTGTAATTCACTTTTTTGTTTTCCAAAAAATGCTTCCTAAAGTTATTTTTGATTATCATAAAGGTGAATGATTTATTTGTTGTTTTTTTTCTTTTTCCTTCTGAGAGCTGCAGCTTAATTCGATAAGAATGTAGGATAGGCATTTATAAGCAGTTTGCTTCTGCGTATGCCTTTTCAGTCACTACATAATACATGAGTGTTGACTACGTTTGAACCATCTGTATTGTTTAAAAAATATTGTATATGTATAATGGCTGAATAAAATACTCATAAATCACTGTACTAATTATTACTAATGCTGTTGTATTTCCTGTGTTGGGAGACAATGTTTGGTTTTTATTACATTCATGCCAATAAAGCACCTTGAATTGCAATTAGGAGGGGAGCTGCAAGGAAAAAAAAGATCCATGCCCTACAGCAACTATGTCAATGGGCTGATTGATTTTGTGTAGCTTGTGCTGTTGTCCTTTTTATCAATGCCGTTGGTAGCATTGGGACACTCTAAAATGACACTCAACCCCCTTAGTGTGTTCTTGATTACTCTGGTCACATTAGCAATAATTTGAAGAGACAGGACCCGTCTTGAATTTCGTCATATAGCGGTCCATTTCCTTGTTTGAGCACGTTTGCGCTCACATTTCTCGCGGACCGTACTCAAGTACACGTGAATTGTTCCTGAGATCACCTTTTCAAGTGGAATCGGGCATGATAATCAAGGTACGTTTCTGTTCAAATGGTCAAATGAACCGGACTTTGGGAACAAGTGTACTTGGATCCAGGCCTGAGTCTCTAGTGTGAAACCACCCTAAAAGGCTCCATTCTGCCACATCCCTTTGCAGGGATAATTAGAGAACAATGATATCAAACAGATAAAAAAATGAAATGTCTTTATTGTTACAGTACTAATTTCATATTTCTTTTAGGAGGATGGAAAAATTACAATTTGAAGTTGGGGATGACCATGCATGACCATTACAGTTGCATGTACTTTCTACTGACCTCGAAGACTGAAATGACATCCAGTTAGCCTTCCAGTGGCTTCCTGACTCTATTTGAGTGCTTGCAATGTACTTTTACCACACTGGAGGAGGTTTGATGACTCAGACATTTAGAGTGTCATCACCTACAGTCCCTGCACATAAATGATGTGGGGTGTCATATTGTTTGTGTTGACAGTACAGCCTCTTATAGCAGGCCACTACAGCTGATTGCTTCAAAATGAAGCCCTCGACCCCTCTTATTGATGTCCTGTAACCGTGGTCGTAGCTCATACAGAGGCTATCTGTGCTGATTCATAGCTTGGATGAGGCTGTTTCTTTGATGGCTGCTAGTAATAGATCAGTTGGAGATGGGGTATAAGAAATGAACATGCAGTAATCATGCATAATCAACAAGTTTCTGCAATGACTGTCTCTGTTTATTATAAGGCAAAGAACAATACAAAGTACAAAACAATCCATCAAACAGCAAGAGCAGAAAAAGCTACCTTGATAGAGGATTGTGCACAAAGCATCACATCAGATGGCATCACATTTTATCAACTTTGTGCTCACATCACAAAAGCTTGCATACATGCGACAGGCCGCTCACTGTGCAGGAAGGAAATCATCTTAATCACATCTGTTTGTATTTTCCCAAAAAATGAAATGCATTTCAAATGAGAACAAAGAGAGAACACAATAAAGGTGCATGACTGACTGGTACTTCACACTACAAAATACAGACTTCAAACCATTTCTTTGTCCTCCAAACTTTTCCATTTTGGAGCAGATTAGCTTCCTCTGCCGGGCTCCAAATGATAGAAAACACACCGATTGATCAATGGATCAAAACAAACTATTATTCAAAAAACACACCCACTTGCACACATGAAAACACAATACTGAATAAATTTCACGTTGCACTGCACATTCAATTTCAAGCAACTTTACAGTATAGACAAAAAAAGCCTGCTGCTCAGTATGAAACACGTCCCTTTCAGTTAGTCCACTCAGTGTTCAATCCCTCAGAGTGCTCTTCAATTTAAACATAAACAATTCAAACAGCAGTAAAATCATATTTAAATAGCAGAGTGAACAGTATAAACTACATACGACTTGCACCAACTCCAGAATGGCACTTTGTCACATCTAGTTACACATCTCGTCATTGCTTCCTGAGCAGATAAATCACTGAAAAGTGCTGAACTCTGCAGTCTAAGCCAATATCAGTGAAATACAGCCATGACATATACCTGACCCTCTGACAAACAGCCTCTATGTCTGCTCAACAGGGTTACATCTCTTCCTCTATATTATACATCGTCCACTGACTTTCACAGGCTCGCCGCAGAGTCCACCATGGTCATCTGAACAGTGGCTAAACAAACATCAAGTAGTGTGGTTTCTTTTACTGTTAAAGACCGAATTCCCTTCTGAAATCATTAGTGTTCAGGAGATTATGAATTGACACAGCATGAATAAGTGATTACTTGTAATTGCAGTCTTTCCTTGAACCTTTTCAAAAGGTCATGTAATTTCATGTCTCTGATTTCTCTCTGGAACCGAGGATATGTCACGGTGTTGTGCTTTTACATTAATTTGAATTACACGGTTTCTAGTGGGAAAGACATGAACAAAGAGGATTCTTGCTACAAGTTAAACCTGAACAAAACAGAGCTGGTATGATAGCTCCAAAAAACCATGTCCCTGGTAAATAGATTATAAACTTTGATACACCATAGATAAATAAGACTGATTGCAGCACAATATTAACCTCATCCCAAAACATGGGAAGAGCTACTTCTTGCCTGTCAGACCATTTACAAGTAATTTAAATGAATAGATATCAGACCAAAAGTTGTTTGTCCCTTTACTAATGATTCTCAGTCTGGTCCATTGGTACCTGTAATCTTACCTGTGTCATTGCACAGAGAAGAAATGCTGAGGCATCAACAAGGAAATCTGCAAATAGACTAATAGTTCAAATTTCATTCTGAAAAGCAAAATATGATTTGACTGACAAAATGTGGAGTCTGGTACATCTTCAAGGCCCCAACAGCCACATTTGATGTACTTAAAATGTGAAAAGTAAGAAAACAGGACATTGAGTCCTTTACTATCTATCATCAGCTGCTTGAAATCATCCATATTGACTGCATTAAGTCCTGCTTGCAACAGAGCAAATTTGAAATCATGAAGGCTATAAGAAATGTACAGAGCTATTAGTTTGGTTATTTTGGTGGTTAGCCACCTTCCTTCACCTTCATTCCACATACCAAGCTCGCCAGACCAGACCAGTACACTGAACACATAAAAAAATTAATGGATCAGCCCCCAACTATCAAAGAACAAGAGTTTTACAGAGATTGAATATTGTGATAAATTATAATGGACTTTCAAATGAATCACTTTTACAGAGAAAGCTCTGTTCACATAGAGGTGTTTGACTGTACCATGAAGAGGTCAGTTGAAGTAACTTCACATATGACATGCTATCATTTTTGTGATCAGGTTTTGGAAGGTGCAAGGACATCCTTTAAGAAGACATTTAGGTGTTGAGTGTTAGCTAAGAGGACACAACAACAAGCAGGGTTAATTAAACCTGAAGTCAATCACAAGCAAATACTGTGGATACGGGGAGCAAGAAGACTGAAAACGGCAAGAACCAAGTTAAGCCTGAAACATCAGTATCTGATACTGCACCACTTTATGCTAGCTCTTCTCCAAAAACAAAACCAACCTGCAGGAGGAAAAACTGACCCTCACAGAGATATACACTCCATGGCTGTAAACATTGCACACTGTGGGATAAGTCATGGTAGACTGACACAATGCTTGGGTTAATTAAGAAAAATATATTAATTGGAAAAGGGTACTCTGTCTACACCTGCATAAAACCTGGTAAATGTCTGGTTCTGGTAAATACAAGGGAATGATTTACTACTTCATGATATAGATCAGAACATTTATGAATGAAAAACAAATATATCCAATGCCATATGACTAAGATTTATGAAATACACTTCTTTATTTCATGCTTTTTAGTGTGACAGGTGGTCATCTTTGGTTCAACATGGTCTGTTTCAGTTTAGATCAGAGAGGGAAGAGGATTTCAATTAAATGGGAATATTTCAACCAAAGTAATAATCAAACTAAATGATTTGACAAGAACTGCTCTCATTCTTCTTCCTCCTTTAACATTTTAAGTTAATGCGCACTTACATTTTGTCTGCATTATCTCATCAAACCCTGCATTGATAGCTAATGCTTCTCTTCTTTAGACAAAAAGCACAGGCGGTCTCTGCATAATTTGAATTCCTGCTCTGTAGCTTTATTAATAACTTGTGTAATCTAACCTGTAGATTTATGAAGGCTTGAGTTGTTTTATTTAAAAAATGCAATAAAGACCCATGTCAGCTCATTTCACAGCATCTTGTTTGGCTCTTGGCAAATGTTCTTGTCAAATAAAAGAACCATTTCAAAGAGACAACACTTTACATAAATTAAATAAGAAGTGTCTGGGCACTTTTAATTAAAACATCTCTAATGTGTCCCATGGGTGACTGAATCCATACAGCCGCTGTCAGAATCTCTGCAATCCTCTTTGCTGGAAATGTTTGTTTTTAATCAGGCTTTGACATCACTTCCAGGTAAAGAAGGCTCCTTCAACGACATCTTCTTGGCACTTGGTAGGATTCTGGTGGGTAAGTACTGATCTGTTGGTGTGTTTAGCTCATCCATCTCTGTAGTGAAGTGGTCTGGACTTTCCCCATTGAACGTCTCCTTGATGACACTGTAGGTTAGTGCCACACTGTAAGAAGCTGGTCTCTCCATCCGCTGTGGGCCACAGTGATACAACTTCTTAAAAGCTGCGCGGAACTTCTGGGACATGGCGTTGTAGATGACCGGGTTGATGGCGCTGTTTAAGTAGATGCAGAGTCGGCAGAAGAGCAGAAACCATATGTCCAGGTAGGCCTTGTCCAAGAAGGAGTTGACCACCACCAAGGTCCGATAGGGCATCCAAAGCAAGGCAAAGAGGATCACAACCACAGCTAGCATCTTTGTCACCTGGGAAAAAAAACAATAATTTGTCAGAAAATAATGTAATCACAAATAAATTGATAGAAAATTGAAGATTACATTTCAATTTATACACCTGAAGTCTTTGCAGTGTGGGCTGCAGTACAAGAAATGTGGAGAAAAGTGTCTCTTTTCACAACAGACCTTTCACTTGTCATAGCAGAGAAAACGCAGGTGTTATAAATAACTGTAACACTGGCTTTGTCCTACTGAACAGTCCCAGTAAGTCCTGACGGTTTGACAGTGAGCCCGCATGAACAACACTACGAACCTGAATATGAAGCAGCTGAATGGGATTTCAAAATGTCAAATTGTCTTGAATGAAACAAGGCCTGTTCCTAATGTCGTCAAGCTGAATAATTCATAGACTTAAATCCAATTCTTGAAGCTACCTATTGTTGCCACTTTTTCAGAAGCAGCTCTTTCAATGTACAATACTAAGCAGCAACCACCAGGATAAAAGAATGAAGCCAATGGGAATTTACAAAAGAAATCGAAGATCCTCAAGGGGCCTGCAAAATCAATCAATCAATCAATCTTTATGTGCATAGCGTCAACTCATAACAAGTGTTATCTCGAGACACTTTACAAAAAGCAGGTAAAATACCTTACTCTTTGTCTTTTAACATTACAAAAGTCAAAAGAACAATACTTGTTCTGGCAGGCCGTACAATTTATTTAACAGAAATTTTAATTTCATAGAGTTCATGATTACACAATGTCTTACTAGATTCTATGATTGGGCTTAATTGTTTTTGCTGTCTTTCTATGTCCATTGTCTCTAAGAGAGCATTTACTTTCTCCATTTTTTGGATCAACCAATCACAGCTTCTGAGGGAATATGTTATATACCTAGCAACGGGGTCGACCACACCTCCTTAAAAAGTTTCTGTCCCTTCCTAAGTTGCTCTGAGATGTGTCTGTCCAAAATAACTCCTAGGTTAAGACTCCTTGCTAGAAATTCCTAAGCTAATTTAGGAACTTTCTAAGAAGATTCTCATAATTTTTGTAAGTAAGGGCCCAGAAAGCTCCATTAACACCCATTGTTAAATGCCTATTCTAAAAACAGAAAGAAACATGTGTACAGCCTGGTTCAATAAACAGATTTTGGTATCAATAACTGATATATTTTTTGCTACACACTGTACAAGGGCTGAACGTTTTTTGTAGCTCATCTGTTTTTAATTGAATATTAGGGCAAAGAGTTATGCCTAAATGTACATAATAAGGGATGTGATTAAGTTGACTGACTGCTGACTGCTGTAGCTGTTGCTATTTGGCTTGAGGCTTGCCTGAACTCTGCCTGTAAATAGGTTGATCGAAAGTTAGGTGGAGATGGGATTTCCAATATTGCAACCGCCATCATTCGGCCTCTTCAGAATCCAACAAGTGACGTCATTGGAACTATGTTCATGTTTTATATAGTCCATGATTAAAATTCAGTTACAATCTCTTTGTTTGGACATTACTGTTTACCAGCCCTGAACATTTCCTATTACTGTACTTCTGTTTCATGTTGAAAGTATTCAACTGCTGAGACAAGGGAATGCTCTTGTGTTTGGACATTGGATATTGGAATCCTCATGTGTTTTGTTGAGTAGTATGTGCTAGCGGTGGCTCAATTTTATGTAGCTACACCCTAAATAAACACATTTGCATTTCATTTGTTGCATGACTGTCTAAGGTCAGCAAATTCTGGGACCTGCAGTAACCCCCTAACTCTTACCACAGTTGTCGCCAGGTCTGAAATCTAGGTTCAGTTAAATTGGTTCCAAGGACAAGTATTTTTTTAACCAAATGACATACTGTCTATTGTTAGTGATCACAGCTGCAACTCAACCTGAACACTTGACTTGAATATCTTTTATTTTTAACATTTTATTAATATTACTGCTCTAGGATTGATGGTGTGAATGAAGTTGTGAATGGGAGTTTATATATCAGAGGACCAACTACAGAGGAGGATGCCCTCCTTTACCAGACATTTGGATAGGTTGCAGCCAGTTTCGGACATGCTAGAGGCCAGGTGAATACCAGAGCATTTACAGGTTGTGCAAATTGAGTCAAAACTTGAGTCATTTACGTAACCATGCTGGAGACGATCACCAGACACTCAGCAGATAATTGTGGTGAAGAGTTCAGGTCAACATCAGGTGACCTCAGGCAGAACAGACAGTTCTTTAAACATGGTAGCTGCAGAAAGAAAGCTTCCATACAAGAAAATGCTTAATTATGATTCTCTATAATGTGATCACTACAGCTTGCCTTAGTCACAGCAGGTTTAAGTGTTAACAGTTAAGCATTTGGGGGCGCCCATAGTAGCATGTACGGAGGCTACACTCCTCCAAGCGAATGACCTTGCAACCAGCCTGTGACTCTTTCCCGCATGTCATTCCAGACTCTCTCCCCCCCCAACACAGACAGCAACCGTGTGAGATCTTTCAAAAAGATGGAACTCGTCTTTCTTTATGATCTCTCGTCTAATAAAAGTTCTCTTTTATTAGAAAACAGAAAGAGCTACTTTGGACTGTTACTCTGGCCTGAGTAACAGAGTTAGTCATATTTACCACTTTTGAGTTGGACAAACAGCAGAGGCTGGAGACCCTCCATGAACAGTAGAGTTAAAAGATGGTTATTTTATCAATAACTATTCGTTATAATTTTGTTTGTTATTTGGTTGATTTTTCACAAAGCTTTTTGAATCTACACAAAACAAATCCATTAGCTCTCACTGAATTAAATACCATTAAAAACATACCAGGCTACTCTGTGTATACCATATCATACACTTAAGTATTTGACTGAGCTCCTTTGGGTATGTGACTTGTCACTTCACACACTAATGGCAGTGGTTGCTGTGGAGATGAGACCCTCAGAAGTAACCAATCCCATTCATACGCATTCCAACGCTGCCGACGAAGCAGCAGGAGAAATCCAGGGTTAAGTGTCTTGCCCTATGACACAGCAGACATGTTGCTGCAAGAGCTGGCGATCAAACCCTCGACCTTCCAGTTGAGAGACGACCGACCCTACCAACTGAGCCACAGCCGACCTGATCCCTAAGAGGAGCTGCCAAAGAAAAAGAGAAGCCTCCTGGTGAGGTTTTCAGGGCTCTAAGTTGCTTTAAAACAGATGATACAAAATGCAGCAGCACGACTGGTCTTCAACCTTCCTAAAAGAGCACATGTCACTCCGCTGTTCATCTCCTTACACTGGCTCCCAGTTACTGCTCGCATCAAATTTAAAACTCTGCTGCTCGCTTACAAAACAGCGACAAAAACATCTCCTCCTTACTTTAACTCTCTCATCCAGGTCTACACTCCCTCCTGCCCACTACGCTCTGCCAATGAAAGGTGTCTGATCCAACCTTTACAACAGGTTCCTAAGCCTCTGACTAGACTCTTCTCCTCTGTCGCCCCCCAGTGGTGGAACGAACTTCCAAACTCCATTGGCTCTGTAGAGTCCCTCTGCACCTTTAAGAAAAAGCTAAAGACCCAGCTCTTTCATGAATACCTACTAACTTAATGATGATGGTGTCCATATCATTGATGATGATGATGGTTGTGACGATGGTTTTTGCTCGATAACGACGACTTATAAGATGGTTTCTATACTGATTAGAGCTCTCAAGAACTGCCCTCAATGTTGTGCTTTGCCTCTGGTCACTTCCTGTCAGCACCTGTGTGTCCAATCAGACTCAAAGCTGATCGTTTGCTCTTACTGACATTGCTCCCTTTTTTTCCGAGATCCTTGCTTGTGTTTTACTTACTCTCTGATGTACGTAGCTTTGGATAAAAGCGTCTGCTAAGTGAATTGTAGAATTGTAGTAGAATTGTAGAATTGTAAAACTGAGTCAGTGACAGAATGAAACAGTGCCCACTGCAGTGGTGGTCACCAAATGCAGGGGTATATTTAATAGTTAGAATAACAATAGCTTGGATTTATATAGCGCATTTCAAGGAACAACAAAAGACGAAACAGAATGAATCGATAAGTAAATAAGATTAAAAAAAATGATGGCAATGTTTACACGAGATAACCATATGCTGAATTGAACAGGTGGGTTTTTTGAAAATGTCCAAGGATGTAGCTTTGCAGATATCTCCTGGGAGAGAGTTCAAGAGGTTGGGGGCTGCCACACTGATGGTAGATGCCCCCGAAAGTCCACAGGTTGGTGTGGAGAGCAAACCAGTGTCCATACACTGAAGGTTCTGGGACGTGGTGTAGGGGTGGGGGAGGTCTGAAACGTACTCGGGGGCAAGGCCATTTAGAGTCGTATTTTGATAATGTATCTGACCACTACTACAACAAGTGTCTCTCCTGTAATACTTAATTGTCAGAGTTCAATGGCAGCCTTTAACTCTGAGAATGCAGCAAATGGCTGATCTTTCAGTAAGAGGTATCAATAGTCGAGTTGTCTGCTATTGTTAAGTTTTGTGTTTTAAACTGCAAAAAAGAAGCTGGACAATTCAAGCAAAGTATTTTAAGTTTTAACAAAATAAACATTTGGAATCATTCCTATATCAAGGACAAAGTCAGAAATGTATATATATATATATTTTAGTATTTATTTTGCAGGAACATCTTCGATTTTTTCTCTATATCAATTTTCCTAAATAACAATGTAATCTATTTTTATTATTGAGGCTTTCATTGAAACAGTGATAATAATGTGTTCATTATAGGGGAAAAAAGTATGCAATGGACTGTTTGTTAATGCTTAATAACCCAATTATTTAAAAACCAAGCCTGTAAAGAATTTGTATTGCGACTCTAATACCACCTCAGCATGGCTCTCATGAAACCTTCTTTATTTATTCAGATCACATGCTGTTGAATCTGAATGCACAACCTGACAAAGCCTAGATTTGTTAATATAATTACCAGAGGATAATCCTGGTGTGAAATGTGTATGTAATTAAATCTTATCCTAATTTATGCTGTGTTGTCTCGGCTGTATTCAGGTGATTGTAATTGGATTGGAAAGGGGCACCGCCGATGCCATCAATGAGTGAAACACCCAATCCTGGATCCTCATTACTCCCTGACCTTTAGGTAATTCAGCCAGCGACGTGGTAGATGGTAAGAATTGTTCCCTGTGTCAGCATGAGGTGTATGTTGCTGACATCAAGAAACACATGTGATTGTGTGTTTGTGGGCGTGTTTTTTAGACAAACACAACTGATGGAGAAAAAGCCAAAAGCCTATTTGACTCTGGGTTAACTGATTAGACTAACCAATAGAGCATGGAGCTCCCTCAGGGTACCACACCCCTTGTCATTCCAGCAAGGCTTCTCCCACTGATCTGATAAAAACAAACGTCTACCACTGCTAGGAACCTGTGTATACCGCAGTGCTTCAGTGTCTTTAGTGGATCATGTTTTATTTTTCAAGTAGGATTTTTTTTTTTATTGAAGAAAGATGATGTTACAGGAGGATGAAATACAGTTTGTGTAATGAACTTTTGTGCTTTATAGTCAAAAATATAGTTGTATCCATTGTATCTACATAAACACAAAAAAGATTCAAAGGTGACCGTTCCATGGGAACTATAAAAAAAAGGAAACCAAATGAAACTTGATACCTGTTGTCAATTGGACTCTTCTTACTCTGCATTGAGGAATACAACAGTCTAACTGCAATCTGATACCATCATTTCTCAGCTCTAAGAAATCAATCAATAAACAATCAATTGTTGTTGATCGGTCTGAAAAAGAAATATAAACAACAAGTTGTTCTGCTCTGTCACCATTGATTATTTAAAGCTGTGAATCCGTTGTTTTACAAGAGAACTGATTCAAGGTTATTTATCACTCGATATTGAACAAGAGTAAGGTGCTAGCTACAGATTAAAGCTAAAGAAGGTGCTAGCAACATGAGTCAGAGAAAGCAAAAATTTTGCTTTGTGATAACATTTTACACTGTAAAAATCACACCAGCTTAAACAGAGCTTAAACTTTAAAAACAAGCTTAAATTCTGGCTAAAATCAGCACATCATTGTAATCACTAATGATTGCCTTGCATATTCTGTTTGTCATCCTGATTTACTTATTGATGTAAAAAATGTTATGGTGTTGTTTGATATTTATGGATTTTTTTATATATGTGATTTCTTAGTGGCCTAAGTGTAATTTCCACATGAATGGACTTTTTACATATTCTGGTGTTTTAGATAATGCACTTCCTGTTATGTATTATTTGTCTACTTGCCTAGGGACAACAGAGCGCAAATGAGCTATTAGCTAACTCTGGTCCAATTACATTTAATTGTGTACTGTCCCTGTATAAATAAACAATAATAATAATAATAATAAAAACAATAAGTTAACAAGTTTTGTGGGAGTGTTGCCATACAGAGTAATTACATAAGCACAGTTTCTGAAGAGATGTTTTGAAGCTGAACAATGGCGGTTGCAGTTTGGATAACATTACAATCAGAACAGAGTTTGTTTTTAAAATCACCCCGGTCTAGTTTTAACAAATGGAGAAATGAGCTATTGACACCAAAAAAATGTATCGTACAAGGCTGTAAACATGTTTATTTTATTGTAGAAATAGTCGTCTTAACATGGGACCTGATAGGGATCACTGGCTTTTGCCGCCTGCCTCATGTGGACACTCAAGAAACTGCAGTTTGTTGCACGTCAACATTGGCTTATTTTTTCCAACAGAAGTTACAGATCTGGGTTATTATAACAAGTCTAAAGCGCTTTGATAATAGTAAGTATGTTTTTTTATTACAATGGAATCAGATTGGCACTGAGTATTGGCGGAGATACAAGTTCTGGTAACCGGTAGTGGAGGAAAAAAGATGGTATCACAATGGTGAAGAAAAGTTCAACTTGGGCTCTACCTCTATTACAGTTAGCAAGACACAGAATGAAAACAAATAGCTATATGTATTATACAAAAGGAGAGGAAAAGCCTTGATTTTAAAAGTGAAGCCAACACTAATGGCCAGCAGATGGAGACTCAGTTTTTTCCCCAAAAGTGGTCTAAATTAGTCGATGTCATGAAGCATGGCCCCACTACTTGACTTCTTACATCAGAAACATTTCTAATAGCTGAGCGATCTAAAACACTTTTTTCAAAGTCTTCTTCTTCCTGGCATAACGTTCATTTTGTGGAACATGGTACCAGATAGTGTAGAATTGAGAATAACACCTGTATGTTGTGTCTACCAGGGTCCACCCTCTTGTCCAAATATGGGCACTGTAATTCAGGTTTAGAACAGAGTTCATGTACCAGTGGTTGATGAAACCAGGACTATGTCAGATTCTTTTACACAGGATTTGATGCTGGCAGCATTTTGACACTCTTTGTATCAAATTTTATCTTTTGCACAAAAAGCGCAAACACATTTAAATGGAAATTGCTTTTATAATGAGATGATAAGTAAACCAATCTAATGTACCAACATTTCACACTGATGTTTGGTTTGGATCCCTCTCTGATAAAATTGGTACTTTATGAAAAATGATGTTGGTTGTTCTCAGAGACTCCAGCTGGACTAAAAACAAGCAGTATGAATAAGCAGCAGTGTGTACTCTACTATTTGATTAGCACTAGCCTCTGAATATCAAACAGCTATGTATTTGTTGATTTAAAGGTTTGTTCTATCAGAAGTTAAAGCTCCCTGTGTTTTGATTGATCCCACACATACGTAATCAAAACCTTATCTGCACATGACTTCATGAGAGAAAGGAATTAATTTGTAAATCATATACAAACACACACTTTTCCTTATTTGGTGTAATAATAATGCAATATTCTTTTTCTCAACTCACACTACATTCCAGGGTTAATGCAAGTAGATGACTGGTTTATAAAGCTAATAAAAAGCTGTCCTTTTAATTGCAGCAGGCTTATTTTATGAGTAGGCTATTTGCCAAATGTGTTTCTTTTTATATTTCTTACAACAACTGTAGCCTATATCATTTTTTTTCTAAAGCTGAGCCTGATGGGTTGAATGACATCACTCAAAGTTGACTCTGATTGGAGGATATTTATCAGACCTGTGGAGCAGCTGGACACACACGCATGTACCAGCACATTGAGTACACGGTGATAATGTGAATGAACAAACAGTGTCCCACCTGTCTACGGGAGGCAGCCGTGGTGCTGCTGGAGGAGCTGGAGCCCAGCATCCTCCTCCCCTGACTCGTGTCCTTCTTCCACTTCTTGGTGCTGTCCCTGGGGTCTGAGGGCAGCGGGTTCAGGATCAGGATCCGAGCGATCAGTCCGTACATAACCGTGGCCAGCATGAGAGGCAGCACGTAAAAAACCGCGAAATCAGTGAAGTAGATGGGCAGGTATTGATTCCTGGACACTTTGTAGGCGCAGCTGAGCAGAACCACGTTGTCATAAACCAAGTTTTTAGTGTCTGACAGAAAGAGCCACATGACGCAGTAGACAGAGGTGAGCGTCCACACCAGCATGATGATCCTCTTCGCCCTGGTTAAAGTGCACAGGAATTGCGCTTTGATGGGGTGGCAGATGGCAATGTAGCGCTCCACGGTGAAGGCGGTGATGGAGCATGAGGACGCGTTGATACCGAGGTACTGGAAATAAGTGATCCCCAGGCATCCTGCGTACCCGAATACCCACTGTCCGTGCAGCGCGTCCGTGATGTTGGGCAGTCCTGCGGCCGTCAGCACCATCAGGTCAGCCGCGGCCAGACTCACCAGGTAACAGTTTGTGGGAGTTCGCATGTGTTTGGTGGTCAGGACCACCAGTATGACCATCACGTTCCCCACGATCCCCACCCCGCATATTAGGGACACCAAGAACACGCTGACCACCTTGTACTCGACTGTGTAGTCAGTCCACACACCCAGGGTCTGATTGTCCTGCGCCGACGTGTCATTCTCCAAAGTCATATTATCCATTGTGAGGTTCTCCATGACAAGCTATAGCCTACTTCTGTGCGCTTTGCAGATAATTACATCAGGCATTCACAAAGAAATCATTTCAATTAACTGCATGGCGCTGACACACAAGTCCAAAAAGCGCAAATCATCCAAACACTTCATTTTAAGCACATACAAATCCAGCCGAACCTCCTTTCTGCAGTTCGAAATCAAATTTGTTATTATGCAAATCCATCAAATGAAACTCGAAAAATGTAAAAGGTCCATTGAGCCCTGTCTGTGGGAAGTTGTCAGACAGTGTAGAGTGTGCAGCTCCGCGCCCTGCTCCTGTCTCTCTGCTCACACAGTCCTGGGAGCTTCCTGTATGTGTGTGCGCGCCTCACAGGAGCAGAGCTGCTGTGAGGCGCGCACACACACACACACACACGCACACACACACGCGCACACACACGCGCACACACACACACACACACACACACACACACACACACACACACACACACACACACACACACACACACACACACACACACACACACACACACAAGTATGCAGATAAGCATCACTATGCTGTTATCTGATGGGTTTTTAACCTATGAATTTTTTTTATTTTTTTGGGGGGGGGAGGGGCACAGGCTGATACACAAACAAACTTCTCCAATTTAACTTTTATATAAAAAGAATCAAATGAAAACTTCTTTTCTCTTTGTCTTCTTTTCTATGTTAATTTATTATTTCTGGGTTTTTTTTGTCTTCCTTAATTTGTTCTGCTTAGAGTACAACATATGTTATACTATATGGGCTAAACATATGATACATGATTAAAAACATGAACAAATAAAACAGTTTAACAAACTGTCCATTAATTGTTTTGCACAAACCTCTATATGCAGGTTTTTAAATGTGTCTGCATTTCTCTTGAATTTGTGTGAATTCAGAGTTTCCGTTTCAAAATAAATCAACTTGTTCAAGAAACCCACTTAACATTAAAATTCAAAACATCTGCAAAGTGTTATCTGAAATTTACACATTGCTTTTTGTTGTTTTTATAATGTCTAAAAGAAGGAAGAGAAAACAGCTCAGAAATGATCAATAGTTTTAATACACTGTACTTTATCTCATAGGCCTACATCTCATCTCATAGTTTGAAGAGAACCTGTTTCTAAACTTTTTTTTTATTTTATTTTTTTAGAAAATATCAAAACATAAGAATGATTGCTAAGAGAGGCAGAAATCAATTCCAAATGCCTGGACTTGTGTATCCTAATTACAGTTACCCATGCTCCATCGTGAAAAAATGATTGGTTGTAAGTCATTAGTTAGCATTGACTGTCTTCCAAGCTAATCACTTAATTAACTCACAAAATGGCATAGTCATGCTAATGAGATTATCTTGTCATGCGGCTGATAAATTATGTACGCTTCAATACAAAATTAATCACTTATAAAAAAGACCATCAAATGTAGCCTGTAGGGACAAAAAGTGGAAGGATGGAGTTTATACTTCAGATTATTAGGGAATCATAAGATATATCAAGTCTTATAGAAACTGGTATGTTACAAAACAGAAATTATTGATCATTTACACTTCTCCAGTTCTTTTACTCCAGAATGTGTATTTTTCACAGCTGTAAGTTCAAGTTATATTTAGAATACAGACAAATATATCACTTGAGTTTATTCAGCTTTCGCCTCCACTAAGCAGCGTATACATGAAAACTATGATTCACCTGCATGCAAACAAAATAAATATAATAAATAACATTATTTTAAGATAATTCACAGTTTATCCCCCTGAGTACTTGTCTTTTGATACTTATTTAGCTTTTATATTCTTAAATGTTGCAAACAGGACACTAACTTGTGTACAACAATCTGGCTTAGGTATGGACCAGCTCCTATTCATGCTGCTATAGGCTTAAACTGCCTGGGGGCCTGTCACATTGAGCTACTGATAACTGAAGGCTTTACCCCCCATAGTACACTTAGAGACTGTAGGTACCACTAGCAGGCCTGCATTCTGGGACCGTAATGTTCTCGAGGGGCAGTACGGCACTAGTAGCTCCTTAAGATAAGATGGTGCCTGGCCATTTAGAGCTTTGTAAGTGAGAAGAAGGATCTTGAATTCTATTCTAGACTGTATAGGGAGCCATTGCAGAGAAGCCAAGACAGGAGTGATGTGGTCCCTTTTCCTAGTTCTAGTCAGTACACGAGCTGCAGTGTTCTGGACTAGTTGAAGAGTCTTTAGAGACTTGCCAGAGCACCCTGACAAAAGAGAGTTACAATAATCCAGTCTAGAGGTAACAAATGCATGGACTAGTTTTTCTGCATCATTTTGCGACAGGATATTTCTGATCTTAGATATATTACGAAGGTGAAAATAGGCTGTTCTTGAAATTTGCCTGATGTGAGAGCTAAAGGACATATCTTGATCAAATAGAACTCCTAGATTCCTAACAGTGGTGCTAGAAGCCAGGCTGATGTCATTAAGGACAGTCACATCACTAGAAAAAGTAGCACAATAACTTCAGTCTTGTCTGAGTTAAGTAACAAAAAAATTCTGGTCATCCATGTCCTAACGTCCTTAAGGCAAGTTTCTAGCTTACATAACTGACTGGTGCCATCGGGCTTCATTGATACATCAAGCTGATTATCATCTGCATAACAATGAAACTGTATGGAGTGTTTCCTCATAATATTTCCCAGAGGAAGCATATATAATGTAAAGAGAATTGGTCCAAGCACTGAACTGGAATAACTACAACTATTTATAACAGCCTTACATCTATTATCATGTTTGCAACTATCAAACTGAATGTCAGAGCTACAAACATTAATATCACCCCTTCAATTTATGATCATAATATAAATATTAAAGTGAATCTTAGAGCTGCTCTAAACATCAGTTCTCCCCTTGTCGTTATCATTACAGTTGCAAATGTTAATATTAGACTGATCAGTCTATAATCATACTTAGCTGTTACTGCTAATATTACACATTTACCATTATAACTGACATTGTAGCTACAAATCTAACTTATTCATTGTTGTTGCTGCTGCTCAGTTTGTTCCTCTCTGTCTTCCTGCATCTCCCTCTATCCCACTTTTCATACACAGTTTGGGCAGATGGGTGTTCATCATGAGTCTGGTTCTGCTCATGGTTTCTGCCTCTTAAATGAAGGTTTTTCATTACCACTGTAAATTTGCTAATGTTGTTCAGTGCTGCTCATGACGGATTATTGTTGGGTCTTTGTAGATAATGCAAAGACCTGCTTTTTTGTAAAGTGTATTGAGTTAACATTTGTTGTGAATTGGCGCTGTACAATTAAAGATTGATTGATTGAACAATTTTATACTTCTGTTTTTACTTTTATAAATGACGACCATATTAAGCTTACGTATATAAGTGGAGTACATGACAAAGTACATCATATAGGCTACTCATGCATCCAGGAATTTACTGTATTTATCCGCTGAGAGACAAAATAAACTCATAAAGCCAAATAGCATCATTTCAAACCTCTTATTGAGTCCTACAGGCATGCTGTGACCCTGTTATAGGACTATTCTGGTGATGGAAGGTAAAATAAACGTCATATAGACAGACATGGCCACTTTTATGTAACTCTTCAGTTCAGTATTGGGTTGTGTCATTTCATATGCTGGCCCCTAAAATGCTTCCAGCATGACTTGGCACCAAGCGAGAAATGACAGCTGCCCATTTGCACTGCTTTTGTTTGACTTTTTCTGCTCTGCAGGTCTGCAATTTAGCACTGAAGTACTGTGGATTGTCACTATTCAAATTGGCTGACTTGCATTTGAACTGTGCTAAATGTAGCAGGGAAAGCGGGTGTCTTCTTGCCTTATTTTTCACGTCTACCTGTCTTGTTATCTGAGTGCTTCTCTGTGTCTCTTTGTTTCTCTTTCCCACATGCATCCAAATGTTTTCTCACGCCTCATTGACATGGAAAGGAAATGAAGATTCAAACGGTTCTGTCATGGTGTTAGTTTCTGATGCATTTGGTGTCACTTTGTGTTTGTTTCCCCTCCTTCTGTTTTCTCTCTTGCAGTGTGTGTGCAGTGGAGGGCGTGGCTGGCTGAGCTGGAACGAGGAGCACCTGAATCTCATCAGGTCATCACTCAGGCCTTAAAGACAGATCGAGACTGAACTCCTGTGCCAGATTATTCCCTTTGCAGTCGGTAACTGTGTCACACTACTAGCCTTACCTTGAAGAACGTTAATGTGATTTTTTGTTCTTGTGTCATGGACTGACCTGTTTTCTCTTTTTGTATGTAGCCTGCCGGTGAACCTCACGTCCTTGCTTTGGATTTCTGTTTGGCCTTACTGTTTTTTGTGTTCTCCTGCGCCAGCCCGTCCTCTATTGCCACCAACTGCCTTAAGCCTTTTATTTTGGTACAAGCTACATTAAAATGTTTAAGACTGACTTTTGTTTCCGTGTTCTGCATTCTGGGGTCCAAACCCTTAAACTCAAACGTAACAGGTTCACTTAGAGAACAGCATCTAAACTCGCATCACAACTCCAGTGGGTCCGTTTTGGGTGGTCCCAGGCAGCTGACGCTGCATTCCAACAGTTAAAGGGTTTGTTTACCTCTGCACCTGTGCTTTCCCACCCAGAGCCTTCTCTCCAGTTTGTAGCAGAGGCTGACGCCTCTGACACAGGTGTTGGGGCGGTGCTCTCACAACGCTCTCCAGAGGATCAGAAACAACACCCCTGTGCCTTCTTCTCTTGTTGACTTACACCAGCAGAGAGTAATTATGACGTCGTTGGTGCTGGCCCTGCAGGAATGGAGACACTGGCTAGAGGGCTCCACTCACCCTTTCGTGGTATGGACAGACCATAAGAACCTCTCCTACCTGCAATCAGCTCATCGGTTGAACTCATGGCAGGCTCGGTGGGCTTTGTTCCTGGGCAGATTCCAGTTCACCCTGACCTACCGCCCTGGGTCCAGGAATGTCAAGCCCGACGCCTTATCTCGTCAGTTCGCTCCTCCGGTGGAAGACTGTCATGAAGAAACCATCCTCCATTCTTCCTGTGTGGTTGGAGCAGCACGTTGGGAGATCGAGCGGGTGGTCCAAGAGGCTCAACTGGATCAACCGGCCCATGAGAACTGTCCCCCCTCCCGGATGTTTGTCCCACCTGCTGCCAGGTCTCCAGTGCTTCAGTGGGGACACGCTTCTAAGGTCGCCTGTCATCCTGGTTTCCACTGGACCCTCTCCCTAATTCAGCAGCGTTTTTGGTGGCCGACCATCTCCACCGACACCAGAGAGTTTGTCTCCCCCTGCACTGTCTGTGCC